AATCATGATCAAAAAGCTATTGGATATTTACCTCAGTCGTGAAACACAACAAACACATATTCCATGAAAAGAAGTATTTCTATCAATCACAACGAGAATTGTTACAGTAGTTTCTCTCTTTCGCACTATATCTCGAAGGCGTTTACAAAAGATACTGATAAAAAACTTGACTAAATTTATGAAATAAAATAACTTGGAAATATAAACACTCCTAAAGCGAATATAAGAATCGAAAAACATTTGAATTTTTTTTCAAGGACCTCATTGGTTGATGCTTGTTTGCTGCCTCTTTGCCTTCAGGTTTTCTGAAGCTTGTCACAGTTTTAAGATAGATAACAGATAGACGCCTTTGCTTGTAAGAGAAACAAGAAAAGAACTAATAAGTGAGTGTGTGTCCATGGTAGTCTATATCCAGGTTGTCGATGCACATAAAAACAAAAAAGTCTTGATAATGCAAAAACAGCTCAGCGTGATATGCAGAGGTCACATTGAGCATTTTTGTCAGCTAAAGCGATTCAGTAGATATATTGGTCAAATAAATTTTTACATCTTGCTGCTAAGAAGAGCTAGGAAAAAGTCGATGGTCTACGTCGATTTTTCACAATCTCAGCTCTCGATGGTATACAGCTTGTTGGGGCATTGGCTGACTTCCAAAAAAACTTGCCACTGTTTCATAAAAGCCAATACATTGGAGGACCGGTGTAGAAGGAGCTAATAGTAAATACCTCCACCCTATTTTTAAGAACTGCCAAGTTTTTTTCGCCCCACGGTCTTTATACCATTCGAAAGCCTGAGGAAAAAAGATTCGACATAAGCTGTCAACTTTTTTCTAGTCCCACTCTACCGAGAGATACATCTTATTTTATCTAAAATTATGTCCATTTTGAAAGGAGCTTTCTGCTCAACCAACAACTAAATACCGCTTATTATCTATCTATGTTACAGAGCAAATCTTCCTCAATAAACCTGAACCGTCGACTTTTCTGTAGCGGAGCCCACTATATTAGTTGCCATATTGGCCAGATAAAATCGCTCATATTTCCCGGCCCAGCAATACCTAGAAGAAAGCTAGTGAAGGTATTCAATTTTCCATGACCTCAGCTTTCGAATAGTATGTAGCTTGTTGGGCATCTCGCTTTCAGGGCTCACACCCCGTCACCCTACAAGGATAGGAGTAGCGGAGACCCTCTTCATCTGAACAGGGCCCAGCTCCCCCAATCGCATCTATGGTCAGGAAGTGCCTCCAAAAAACCAACCGCCGCATTTACCTCGAATGCCTTCACCCCATTAGCAAAAAGCCGAACAAGTTGAGGTAAGCTCGAACATCCATTACAGAATCTACGAAAATTGCCCTAGCATGAAATAAAAGTTGGGTGAAGAAGCTTCACCAGTGATACGATTATTGGGGTCAGGCACAACCATTTATGGGTGTCTGAGTTTGTATAATTGTGCTTGACCCACTTAACTTCTTCAGAAATGGCTACCCTAATTTCACAAGTCCAGGAAGCACCTATTCCGAATTTTTCGAGCCGCTCAGCCGCCTCGCTGTGTTTCGGAAAGCGACCCTTATGCGTACGATTCTATTAGGCAACACAGCGTGTGTGGATTTTTGGTCGCGATATCCGTTGACGTGTTTAGGCTGGCCCTTTTGAAAAGAAAACACCCTGCGTCTTGTACTCGTAAAATTAGGGTAATCGTCCTCACTTCATATGAAATTCTGCGGCCAAATTCGAATTTGAAGTGGGGCAGGTCGGCGGTAGTGCGCAGCATCCGCAGCCTTCAGTCAATTTGGACAAACGAAGTTTATATTCTGTTTTTTTGTCATTGCATGCTTTTTCTGTTTCAAAAATGTTGATAATTAGAACTTACGATTTTTTTGTTTCGAAAAAAATTTTGCTGTGCTTGTTTCTTCAACTGATTTCAGGTAAGATCGGAGAACGTAGATGGACATAGAAATCTACTAATTAACACTTTAGCACATAACTTGCCAAACAGGAATTTGAGACAGATTTCCCATCTTCATCGTTTCCAAAATACCTGCAATCGGGCTAGAAACGGGAAAACCTATATGAAATATCGTTCAACAACAACGCGATCGTCAATTCTGATTACAAGGGATCTTGAATGACAGATACAGCGATGAAGCAAGAAAACAAAAAAAATACATTTGTGCCATTTGATTCATGTGGCTTGGCTTCGGGAAGGCGGGGCTCCGTGACCTAATTAAGGCTAGCTAGTGATCAGAGAGCACCCACGCGAAAGAGACACAGGTGCGTCGCGGGCGCGAGCGGCCTTAACTACGTCACAAAGCCCCGCCTTCCCGAAGCCACGCCAGTTGAATCAAAGGTTAAGTTTGAATCGAGGGCTGGGGGTGTCGCGCTCTACCGCGCCCGGCCTGCTCTAGTTCAAATACGAATTTCTGGGTATCTAGGCTTGGAGCCTCGTCTTGCCACGGGGGACGGTCAGGAGGTGCGGTCGGCGCGATTTTTTCGCGTAGCGACGCCGCAACGCATTTCAACCAGTACAATAACAGCATTCTAGGTGTAACATTACTTATGGCATCGAGTCATGTATCTGCCTCCACCCCCACTCCCGTGTTTTTGCCGCCGGGAATCTTTGATATAGTGGGAAGTTTCATGAATCCCAAGACTTGGATGCGGTGTGCGCGGCAAGCGGCCGCCGCGCGCAGCGTACCTCCTGACGTGCAGCCTCTTGCGATGGGTGCAAGGGGTTGTGCTGTTTTTAGAGGAAGTGTGCCTGCCCTCTCGCCTGCACTGGCTGGCTTGTCCTCTCGCCTAACCCTGGCTGCATCTGGGTAGAGAACCATATTGTCGTTAAAAGAAAAGGGGGGGGGGGGCGGATATTTGCAACAGCTACGCCCTGGCAAGTACAAAAGGTGCGCATTCGTTGCAGCTATCCGCGCTGTACTTATAGTCTGTATCAACCAGCATCGGTCCCGCGCTGATATGCCTTGCGAGGACGCACCGTCGCTGCAACGTCCCCTAGAGGCAGTGGTTCGGGAAAATTTCAAGCGCTTTCTGTTCCTCCTTGGCCTTCTGGATGCGTTTAGACCAAATCTGTGCTTGGAAAGTCAAAAAAGTGCTTTTTACGACATTGGAGATTGCTGAGGAGGCTGGAGCGGCGAATCCCATCAGCATTGACTGGCCGCAGGAGACTGTAACACCACTCATTTTGGCGCCAATTGGTTGATTGGCCCAAGCAGCCAATCGCGAATCGGATGCGGGACACTCCGCTCTAGTCTCTCCTCACAGTCTCCAAGGTTGGAGAACGCCATAAAAAGCTTCTTTTCGACTTTCCAAGCACAGCTTTGGTCTAAACGCATCTAGAAGGCTGTGGAGGAACAGAAAGCACGCAGTTGGAATTTCCTGAGCCACTGCCTTTAACGCGTAGCAGAGTTCGCACGCGCTAAACCGTACCGTCGCAAGTTGCCGCAAGTACGACGTCACATAACCTAAAGGCTGATGCATGACGAAGGCGCAATACCTTCGGACGCGATCGCGACTTTAGCCGCATAGCGCACGAGGCGCAGGATTTATAACAGTGAGAATACGCGCGCGCCGCGTTCGCTTCGCGCTCGCTCAACTGATACTGCTTTAGCGCCTTCGTCATGCAGCAGCCTTTACATATGCTGGTTGGCACAGCCTATATTATACATGTCGTATCCGCTGCATCTGACCAACTTCTCTATTACTGCGTTACGATTTAATCGCACACTTAAAGGACGCTGAAGCATATCAGTCGTGTACCATGATGCGCCCTGAATTCGCGCTAAGAACACCGGTTACGGATTATTGATTTATTGGGCACGCGCCATACTTGATCCGCTTGATCCACTTCGCTATTGGTCTGTTTGCTAATTTTCACCAGCGGCAAAGTGGATGAAGCGCATCAAGCGAATCGAGTATGGCGCCTGCCTTGAACACATTTCAACACCGAGAAACCGCAATGCTGAAACGCTCACATAGTAGCATTCGCTTGAAGGGAGTGTCCGGACAAGGTAGGGGTTTTGGGATTTTAGTGCCATGCAGAAGTGGGCCATACTCAAAAGCACGAGCCATACTTGACGTTTCATCCATTTTACTATTAGTCAAATTTGAGTGGCCAACGAAGAGGATGTTCCGCTTAGTCCGCTCCGCCACCAGTTTCCTGATTTGATCAATAGCGGAGTGGATGAAATGGATCGAGTGGATCAAGCGGATCAAGTATGGCGCGCGCCAAAGATGGGGGATCCCGCACTCAGCCCAGCCTTGGCGGGAACCGTCCTAGGTAATCCAAATTATAAAGTTTGGGAAAACATGTTCTCGCAGTTTTCCCGCTCTCTCATGTGGATTTTCGCATTCAGCGTTGCGGATTGAGCGAATTTTCTAAAAATTGAGTTCTGCAAGGACACTGCCTCTAAGCTTGCGAGTCTACGATAACTTGACTGTGAAGAAATGTGGATATCCGAGACGGATCCGTATGCATGCAACATGCACTTACGGCTACCCGTCTACCTTTCGCTTAACCTTGGTCACCGTTAGACCCTGCATGCTTATAGATCTGAAATTATATGATGTGCTCTCAAAAAAAAATAGCTATACCAACCACTTTTATGTAACTCGCAAGCAAGTTGTCAGCATTCGGGAATGCAGGCTATGCTTTTGCATATGCTTCGTGGCGTATAAGCACCTCACACAGTGCACGATGTAGTAAAATAGAGCGAAATGTTACTCCTCCAAGTTGCACTGCATAATTTCTGATGACACACGTGTCCAGCGAGATATAATCAACAAATTAACGAAGGTTCTATCTCACCATTGACTCGAGATCCGATAATTCTACAAAGCTTGTCGTGTGCAAGTTGGTGTTCCCCGCGGGAGATGACACTTTCTTGGTTATTAGGAAACCACTGCATGATAAAGAAAAAAATGCTCGTTCTCAATTAAACTCCAGTGCTTCACTGATGTAGGACTTGCGTGTTTCAAACATTTCCCACTTACCGCTCAAAAGCAAGGACTCATGTTTGAGAATTGCTAAACGACGACAGCAATCCGTTGATGATATTGATCCTCGTGACATCTTATGATTTTACTTGATCCAGAATCGACAGATGTCAACAGAAAAAAAGACCACGTTGTAATAGGCAAGGGAGCTCTACGGCACTCAGTATTTGATAACGGAGTAGCCAGTAATACACTAAATACATTACGAAGATAACAACATTTATTCGACAAAAACACCAAAGAATCGAAAAGTAAACAATATGAAAAACTGCGACAAGTGCAAAACAAAGAATAAAGAAGCATCAAATCAAACACGGTAGATAGACACGGTTACAAAAACAAATATCAATGAAGAACTTCTCTGTATCATGAATAGGTAACACAACAGTGAGGAAAAGCGTAAACCTCACTGCACATCGTTCACATACCGCAAAGACCGCAAAACACAAACTTCCCACAGATGAGAACAGATAAATTTATTTTTTTTATGAAGCTGTCAGACTATTCGTCAGCAGGACATTCTCTGTTTGATCACTAAAGTTCTACAAAGAAGACTGGATTTAATTTTTCATCACTATGACTTCGTCATCGAATGTCCAAAAAAAGGAAAAAAACTCCCTCACGATAGCTTTAGGGTGGCGCACAATCCGCAAAGCGTATCGGCTCACTCATTCGCTCAAACATGCTCAAAAGATGAAATAAATAATCCCAAAGCTCGTACCAGTTAATTCACTCGAATACAAAACACTGAAAAATAATCTCCTTTGAAAGTAAACAGCAAAGAAATGTTGAGCAAGACGAGTTTGATGAGAGTACCTCAGAAAATGTAAGAACACAAAAGCAAAGATACCGCAAGAATTACGACCGAACTGCATTCATGGAGGTGTGTAAGGAGCTGCATCAGAACCTCAAAACAGCGGACAACAAGGGGCACACAAGATGACGAGCTGGCGAGCGCCGCGGAATGCACCAAGTGAAATGCAGAAAAAATCTGCCTTCACTCGTAATCGCCCGCCGCTAGCTGATCAGAACTCTTGTGCTGTTCTAGCAGAGAATCTGGCCATGTACATTAGTATTCGTGACATCAGTGAGCAGCGAAATCTGACAAGGGCTGAAGATAGCTGATATTCCAAATAAGAAGCAGTGCGAAGAACTGCTTTCTCAATGAGTGATGACGAGGCATAGCAGAAACGGAGCAAAAGTTGCAGGATAAATTTAATCCGAAACTTCAAGCATACAAAACTATTTTGACATCACAAAAAGCAAAGAAGTTTGTATGACCTGCATCTGGGCCCCTTACTAGGGAGTCCCTTCAGACGGAACCACAAATACAAAGTGCAAACATAAAACGAAATGCCGATACGCCTACAAGAATGATAAGGAGAGGATCATTATTCCCGTAGCAAACAGACGAAATCCTATTGCGATTGATTGAACAACATTTCCCTTCTCCCTCGAATCCATATGACATTAACAACTAGAAGAATAAACGCAAAACATATTGAGCCCAAACGATTTTTGATAGTAGCAAACAATCTCATAATCAACCTTACCACGAACATTTTGGGAGCATGAAATGTAAAACAACATTCGACAAAGTAAAAGCATTGATGATATTAGTTTGTGAAATTACAATTACCTCGTAGTTAAGTCATATAGGTTAGACTTTCCTGCAATCTCAAACTTGCATCGTTGCACAAATTTCTCACATGAACCATAGGTACAACATGTTGCGACTGTTTCAATGATCAGAATTTTCAAGTACAATGTCTCTTCAGAAATTTCGGGATAACTGAGCACCCGAGACGAAGACCGGTGCATTCCGAGATGTATGCGAAAAGGATTAGCGAATATGATGAGCCATGCAATCCAGATTAACAACCTCCCCAGCCAATAGAAGTCAATGCCAAGATGCTTCTTATCAAATACTCATTCATTACCTACAAAATAAGGTGGTACGAAAGTATTCCCAGAAGAACAACAATAAACGACAAACGAAAATACGATAATCGCTTTTCAAAAATCTTCCAAGCACGAAAGTTTGGCTTCCCTTCTTTGCGACATTTTCACACGAGATAAGCTAGTCTCCCATGCCCTATATCAGCGACAAAACTAAACTTTCGTTTAAACCCTGACAGCTTCTTGTGATGGAAGGTGATGAATTTTCGATCGCTTCTATGCTATTTATCAAAAGTGCGGAGCCAAAATGCAGACTTATGCTCGATGAGTGTTAGGCGCTGTCTTTCTACAACATACGACACGACAAACAGTGGATGAAAACAAAAACATCGAAACATTAGTACCCGCAGAAAAAACAACAAGTCACAGTCACATAAACATAAAACAGACTCGTCATATTTCTGACGGGTTGTTCCGAGATCTAAATTTCTCGATAAAATGCATCCCTCTATTTCACCCACATTTAGAACTGCTGCTGCTGAGACTGGAATTGACCGGTTGCGGGAAAATTCTGCGTTTGTGCACCTGAATAGCCAGAATACTGCGATGTTGCGGCTGCTGCAGATGTTGCTGGATAGGCAGCGTTCGAAAAAGTCGACTGTGTCGGCGTCGTTCCCGGTGGCGGTGGATTCGCCGATGCTGCTGCTGCAGTACGAGCCTGGTTCTGCTTCATTTGAGCCTCGATCAACGCCGCCTGATCGTGCAGACCCATAGACCTAAAGCAGACGACTATTAGATGAGCTCTGTTCACGCAGACTTAACCAAGCTTCCAAGTCTACATATACAGTTAACGAATACTTTAAAGTGAACTGATTCTCAGAACAACTACTGCTTACTGCATCAATTTCTTCTACCATACCATATACTCTCAAGTACAGACGCTATACTATATACTTTGGACCATCGAATAAATATTCGAGTATTCGAGAGTATTCGAATAAATTTTATTCGAAAATTTCAAAATCTCGAATATATACGATATTCGCTTATTCGAAATTTGTCAATTTCGAATTTATTTGATTATTCGGTTATTCGAAAAACTTGATTTTCGAAAATGTTGGAACATTCGTTATTTTCAGAAGTTATTCGATTATTCGACAATTTCGTATAATCGAATAACTACATGACAGCGTCACAATTTCGAGTGCTATATAAGCAATCATCGTTTGTTGTCCAAGTTGCCCACTGCATGGAATCCTTCATTGTGCTAATTCGATCAAAATTTGTTTGAATATTCGACATAATCGATGCAAAATATTCGTTTAATCGGATTTTTTTCTCAAATATATTCGGCTACTCGGATTTTTTTTTTCAATTCGAATATATTCGATATTCGATTATTCGACGATTTTCTTATTTCGAAAATATTCGATATTCGATTATTCGACATTTCTGTTTCTCGGAAATATTCGATATTCGAATATTCGATATTTTTGATTTTCGAATATATTCGGTTATTCTATTATTCGAAAAAAAATTCTCGAACATTCCAAAGTATACTATACTAGACAAGAGAAAATGCGATTCAAGGTAGCAGGCATAGATACTGTGAAATTTTTTGATTCTAATGAGGGGCTTTTTGAATTTACAACTCCACCATCTCAACTTATTCTTTTTGGAAACATGTAGATTTACCTATAGTATTCAGCCCACTGAGCTGAGTAGTCAGGTTGTCCTGTCTGAGGATTGATAGTAGGCCCTGACGAGGTTGTACTTGAACTTTGCGATACTGCTGCAGGCTGCGCACCAGACTGAGGCACATAGGTGTATCCCTGCATATTGCCATATGAATTCTGAGCGTTGGCTGCTGCTGCTCCTGTGTAGTACTGCCCAGCTTGATTTGCCCAACCATTTCCAGCATCGGCTTGCTGGCCTGAAAATAGTAGTAATACGCGCGCAATACTGCCAACAAATCGAATTTTTAACCAGATGTACCATAAGTATTATTCCAAAGGCTAGCACCATACTGTCCATTGTACTGTGAGACACTAAAGTTACTACCGTTTGGTGCTCCAGCGCCAGTGAAAGGAGGAACGGGGGTGCCCGGAGCGATGTCGCCGACCTGGAAAAAACGCTTCAATGCTTGATGTTCGTCAGACATCCAGTTAAAGCAGACAAGCTAGTAAACGAGAATGTCGCAAACAATCTAGCAAATAAGAATGTCATCTACTCATACCTTGATTCGAATAATATGTTGTGCATGATGAACTTGATATGGTGTGCCACGGATTATAAACACCTAAACGCAGCACTTGTGCATTATCTCGGTTACCACAATGGCTACTCACACCCACCTTTTCCTGGGGATTCGGTGGAGGATCGCGCGACAATTCACAGTGTGCACCACTTTCCGCATTGATCTGAACCACGCTGTAGGGTAAACGAAAAAAGAAAGACGCCCCAAACGACCATGCTTATATGACATTCAAACAAACCTGCTTGATTGTCTCTCCACCTTTACCTATAACGAGACCCGTCTTGTTGGATGGAACGTGCATATAAAAAGCCTAAAGCACTCAATTAGGAATAAAACAGGTAGATGTGGCCGTCACCGCTAGTTACCGTCATAATGTGCTTATCTTGTAGGGGATGGAGGCAATGCACACAAAACTAGGCTAAGTTTTATTTCAATCTTCATTGCATGTGAAGAAATGAAATCAAGATCAAAGGTGATATTTGCAACGATTCAAGTGTTTTCATTTCGCAAAGATTACCTCGCGAATGAAAACTGGTATCATGCAATGCAAAGGAGGCACCGCAACAAAGTAAAGCAAGGAAAACGATGAGTGTTTGTTGTAAATCAACATAAACAACAACAAAAACAAAGGTTTTCCGATAGCACCGCAAATACCCGGAATACACAGTGCGAAAGCTATTAGCAAACAACCACCACAACCACAAATCTCAGCATTTTGACGTGCTTGTGAAAAAGTTAATGGGATTTGACGTTTATTATCGCTATACGAGATCAAACTACTGATCTCATCTGTAATATACACTGCAACTACCGCAACCAAAGAGCACACACTGTTATAAAGTGTTCGCAACCGAAGAAAACTTGATGAAGCACTAATCAAGCATGTATCAATTCTTTCTTATCAAGACTAGCATGCATATATCCAACAAGGACAAGCAAAAGCGATATCAAATGACCCTCAATATTGAGCAACAAAGGAGAAGCAGGGACAGGCATACAATGACTTTAACTCCTGTGACCGAAAAAGAAAAATAAGAGTTAAAAAGCACTTACTCCACATGAACCAACCTCTGTCTGACCGGTCATCATAGAACCGCTACAGCTCTTGTGTACCAACTCTGTGATAAGTTCGGTGGCTTTGTATATCTGCTCTCTTGAGCCCATGATAACAGCACATCGATCAGGAGATGTGGGATCATCTGAAACCAAAAATACAAACAAGAACTCTTGCACATACGCAATTTGCATAAGATATGAAAGATGTTAAGTTTCAAACAAGACCAGACGCATATGCTTTCTACAACCGCCGGCTCACATATCATGTAAAAAAAGGCAACACCATGAATAGTTAGCATGCCTATTACTTAAGATAAGCCAATTTTTGATGCGATTACGAGCAAACGACAGCCAATGCCATCATAATGATGAACACAGGAAGAAAATATAATATTTTCCAAGCACTTAGCATAAGGAACATCCAACAAGATATACAAGGTGCCGCAAAATGATGTGCACAGTGTATGATGAATGATAACTCTCTTGTTTCGAAGTCTTTCGGCGTACTTGAGGTACTATTGTAGAGTAAGGCTCAGGTCAGATTTACATATAAAGCGTATCAGCGATCGCTCTTCATTACTGTAGGATTACGGTAAAATTCCAATATTAAAGCCATTGTGAAAAAAGCCGTGATAGATTTTTATAAAAAAAGCCTCAAAGATTGTGTGGAAGGGTTTTCACGCATGCTGATTTCAGCACATAACTTTTTTACAAGTTTTTGAGCTTTTTTAATGGTAGTAAACATGTTTTTGACGAACATTAGAGAAACAGTTGTTACGGCATACCTGGTTTCACTCATGAGAGAATCATTAAAATGAGCTGCAAATTCATATTCAAAATCCGCGACTTTTAATAGCCTTGATGATTCGCTCTACCTGTAAATCTAAACTGAACCTCGCTCTACGAATTAATACCTAAAATTCGTCGAGAGACATCAGAGCAAGAAAGTTATCAATGACCAAACAGTGTGCACACTATTTTAGGACTTCCTATATGAGATGGTACTAACGCGGGTGCCTGCCAGGAAAAAAGTATGAACAACAGATATGGTTTCCGTATAGCATATGTGCAAATCCGCAAGATTACCGTCTGCTTTGAATTGGATTTTTGTTCCTGTCTCCATAGCAAGTCTTTTGATGGTCTCGCCTCCTTTACCTATGATCATCCCAACACTAGCACGAGGGACAACTACCTGAAGCAAATTGAGGAGCTTTTTCGCTACCTCTGCAACATTTGCAAGTGATGTACGCACCTCTCCCTTTGCTGTGGCCTGTTCAGAGTACAGCCGCGGTATGGTGCCATTATCTTCTCGTGAGTTGATCAAATCAGTTACAAGACGCTTGGCTATTTCAACCTAAAAATAAAAAAACATTCATGATACAGGGACAAGAAGGTTGGAACGCACTTTCTCTGGGTCACCAGTTATACGTAAAGGCTTTGCTTGACCAGTAACTTCTTGTGAATCTTGTATCATTACCATTTTGCAGCCGGCTTGCTCCTGAACGAATCGGCATATGCATCAAACAGACAGATGATATGCTATCTCACCTGGAGCTGCTTGATGGTTTCACCCATTTTACCAATGACAAGACCACATTTTGTAGCCGGTATGCTCATTTCAACGGTGATTGCACGCCCATCAGTAGCTGTGAAATTCTGAGCTGAAGGTCGCGATGCTGCTCTCGTGATAACATCGGTTATCATTTGTTTAGCTCTTTCTACGGCCATCTGTAATACCCAAGGATATAGCATTCACTTGCAAAGCACATATACACTTCAGGACTTCTCCTACAGCGATCAGTCAGTCAATCAATTAACTTGGCACATCCCGTACTCAGTCCCAAGGAGTTGCCAGCGGCATAAATCATCAATTTCGGACTATCACCCCTCCCAAAGCCACGTTTATGACACCTTACTCTGCAAACGGTAACGACTACCGCTAAGTGAATACCATGACACATCAATCTGACCTGTGGATAAATGATGACCTCTCCACTCCATAAAACGAAAAGGTCACAGTGTTGTCCAACACAAAAAATCAATAACTAAACCCAAGCCATGCTTAATATGATGAACTAGCGCTCATGCCGGTAAAAAGTTAGGAAGGTTGACAATTAAGAAGGATTACAAAACACCCACAGTCTTGAATGCCACGTTAGACTAATTTTTCAATGGAAAGCTTTACCTTACTGCCTTGCAGTGTGCACTGACGTACGCCTGTCCCAGGATCACCATCTGGGCTCATTTGCACACGACATCCAGTAGTGCTCTGGATGTTTTGTATCTCAGATCCACCTCTACCAATAACTGCAAGATCACCAGATTTTGAGCGACCGAAAATATGCACAAAAATGGTCATACCCAAGCCTACGGTGTTCTCTGGAACACTAATTATTTCTACAACAGTTTCTGCCGCACTGGCAACTGTTGGAATCATTGAGGCAGCCCCGAATCCCATCTGCTGTACCATCCCGCTACCATCCATGGCTCCGTCGATGTTACACCTCTTCACGGGATTCGCTGAAATCATAGCGTAAGCGACGAAAAAGAATCCACAACTTACACTTGATCTAAAAAAAAAATGAAGAAATAATGAGTACGAAAGTACACAAAGAACAACGACACCAATATTCAGAATACAATGCAGAAGAAAAGAACCAGGCGACGCACGCTCAGAGTCGTCAGGATAGGAGCGCTTCAGAGACGGATTTGTTGCAGTGTCGACACCAGAATGCTAAACGATATTAAGAATCGCGGATCACATCTGTATCATATTTTATTTTAAACGCCCGAACACGAAACTAACATTTACATTTTTAGTTTGAAACGTCGATACACTCAATAATTTTCACTTGAACGCCATAACATGAGATAATTTTAATTGTATACGTCAGAAAACAGCCACAAATTTTTCACTGATACGCGAATCACATCAAACGCTCCAATGTCTTTCTATTTATACTCAATTTCTTTGAATACAACAGTTTCCTCAATATATAATCAACACAAGTGGAAATCAAATGGAATCAGTTCGAATTGGGTAAATCAGGGAAAAAACTTTGAAAATACAGAAAAAATCATTTATTTGTCAGTATGGCAAAAACCAACATAAGATAAAAACCGACTACCAAACCGAAAGCAAATTAGACCGCTAGTGAATTACCAAAAATAAACGTACGAAAATGTTCATTCATGATATATGACTGCAAGAAACACGCAAATTTATCTCATGAGTCATTCACTCACGCTACACAAGCATCATCAATGTACGAAGCAAAGCACGCAACTTACCGCCCTATTATCAAAATTATAAATTTCTCACCTCTCTAGCACGTAGAAGAGCGTCTAGAGCGTCGTGGACAGCTTTTTCTTCGATTATACCTCCAGACATACCGCGAATACGGCCATAGGATGGAGGATGAGCACTCGTTGACACGAAAAGGGTCACAAATGAGTAGTTACGCGTCGCAGCGTCCGCACGCTTCTACGAAATCTGGGTCCCGAGAGGAGAACAACGATCAATACTTGTCAAGAGAGCAATACTAACCACGTTGCACTTATTTTTACACTAGAATGGAGCTAGAATTGGAAGGAAACAGTACGAGGATCTATGGCCCGTATGCTCTTGCACGAAAGACTTTTTAGCAATTTCTAATTCATTCTGAAATCGCTGAGAAAGCGGGTTTTACAGAAACGGACGTTCACGTTCACAGGGTGTGGACGCGCGCGAGATGACTGAGTATGCAATGTGGCATGTGTTAGGCTGCCTATCCTCACTCGACACAGTAGAGGAAAAACCGAATAATGAAGAGATCAATGACTGGGCGTGGTTGTGTCTCTAATTCTGCGTTGTATTCTGTGCAGGATTACCTTCTTTGATGTATTCACACTGTGGGAAAATCTGCCACAAAGGAAAACGAGGGAAGTTTTCAAAAGAAAGTCAAACAAGGCTCGACAAAAACGAATAGTTCACGACTGAGCTGAATTCATTCAAGAGAAGAAGCTAGATGGTCGGGATTCATTGTTATCTAAATGTTATGGAAATTCTTATTTGTGCTCCGTTCTGGTCCTTCCTAAACAACGCTATCGCAATTACTGAACTCATACCAAAAGCATGCGCGGGGAGACTTCGGCCTGGACTTCTGTACTGCAACAATGTTGTCGCGCTGACTGAATTTCCTCAACGAACATGGATACGTGGACAATAAACATAGTTAGCGCGTTTCAAATGAGAAGTCCTGACATCATACAGCGATCACTGAGCATATTCTAACCCAAAAAAAGTATCGCAAACTGGCTCCTTCCTAAGAATCCCGCGCACAGTGAAGGGACAAGGTTGACTGAACGGACGGGACTTTGCGAAGCAACCTTCTTTGCTCCTAAGTGACTATTTGCCGTCACATTATGATCGTCAATCTGCTGGTGCAGATATACCACCTATGTCCCACAATTTCCCAGATACCACTTTTTTCTGGCGCCTTAGCAGGCCGTTTGCCTCTTAGGTTTCCTTCATACTACGCCGCAGGAGGCAGCAACCTGCCGCAGCACGCAGCGTACTGCGGCGTGCGTCGCTACTGTCGCAGTGAAAATATAGACTCGCTCGCTGTGAAAGACCCGCAGAGAACACGAACGTGCAGCAAATATAGAGATACATCCATAATCGGCGAAGCTGTGCTGCCGTGAACGTATATTTTCACTGCGACGGCAGCGGCGCACGCCGCAGGACGCTGCGTGCTGCGGCAGACTGCTGCGTCCTGCGGCGTAGTATGAAGAAACCCTTACCCAACATTCAAACCTTCATGCTTGTGACTCAAAGGAAGCAGGTCTGCTTTACGGCGGTAGAAGTGGCGCACCGAGAGAGCAAAGAGGGGATGGCAAGTCGCGAAAATCCAGATGCGGTCTACATCAGTGACTTGTGAATAACTAAGCCCTTTGGATTTTGAAAGATTAAGATCGGCTGAAGAAAGAAGAATCTCCTGCTGCCGCGAAGTCCCCACTTCTGATTTCAAGAATCGGAGGACTAGCAAAAAATCTCATCCTCTTTTCAAAAAGAAAATTTCATGGCGCTCCGCCCCAGAATTCCCGGACCGCTACTAGGCGGCAGCGACAAGAACATCGTGGGAATCCCATTTTTACACCGTTCAAATCTTTTAAGCCCCTGTTCTGCAAGAATGTGGCCGATGAAAAATCGGTGTTTCTTATCTTGTGCTTAACCCATTGTTTATGAGGTAAAGCTACTACTTTGACATTCGGTGCGTGCGGTGCGCGCTTGTTAATGGCCAGCAGTGCGGCCCGCGCGCCTAGATTTACGGGCGGGGTCACGTACCGTGCAACCCGCGCGCCTTGAATCCTTAGCGTACGGCCCACGAGCACTATAGAGCGCCATCAAGGTGGTAGTTAGTGGTCGGATAGTCTCCCATGCAAAGCAAATCAGTTGAAGCCTACGGATAACGTACGTACTGAATGTCGACAGGAGAATTTCGACCTATTTATCGCTCTGGTCAAGCCAGCACTTTGCAGAAAACGAAGTCCTCCTGACTTTAAGCACTCTGTATATTCTACTGATGTGTATAGTTCCGGTCCAACATGAGCAATTCCAGCTCTTGGACCGGTAGAAGGAATGGCTAGAGCGGGGATGTGAACGCGGCGAGGGTAGCTGGATAGTCCGCCAATGGGTGCCGCATCCGCGGATTAGTCGTCACAGGGTGTGATAGGCGCCAGACTTTGCTTCAGAAACTCAGACATTCGCTGTGGCGGCGCGCGCGCCTTATGCGGCCACCGCCGGCCGTCAAATGGCGCGCGCGACGCGAGTAAATAGTTCGCGCGCCGTGAGTAGATGGGACGCGCGCCACACGATAAAGGCACGCCGCTCGCACGGTATGAAAGTTGCCATTCGCATCTGAAGCACTGCGAATCACGGTGAATCTGTAGTATACCTGATGACAAACTTCAAGTTCAGGCAAACAATGGCTTTAATTTCAAATATGAACTTGAAGTTTCCAAACCTTGATTTTGAAAATTCAAATTTCAAAAATTCAAGAATTCAAATTTCCAATTGATTTCAAACTCGGCACCTACTTGCAGTGCTTATAAAGAGTGACGTGGAAGAACTAGAAGAACCCCACTTGTTTTGATAAGACAACTCCATTGCGGAACAGCGATAACCTCTATGAATTGGCGATAAAGCACCCAAAACACTGCGTCGTACTTCACGCAGGTATCGCTTGTGCTTACAGCATGTGAGAATGCGGAAGATATCATGGCACGCCGCTCACTGATAAATTGCGCACCGCTCGCACTCTGAACTAGGGCGCGTCGTTCGCAATACAGTGCTACTAGTGAACCAATAGTCAAAGGTGCTAGATTTGCATTTCCGCGCTTCGGGACCACACCGCGATTTCGTACTTTTTGATGTTTTTCAAGTTGGCGTTACGATTCTTTATATATAAGATAATGGCGCGCGTGCCGCCCGCCGAGTGTCGAGTAGGCGAGCCGGCGGCCGTAATAAGGCGCACCGCTCGCCGGCTGCGAATGATGGCGCGCCGCTCGCACTGCAGCCTCAACTGTGGCGCGCCGCTCGCACGACAGCCTCAAATAGGGCGCGCCGCTCGCACTGAGGCGCTATTATGGCGCGGCCGCCGCCGCAGCGAGTGTCTGAGAAGATGCGGCGCAGTCACTGTCATTTGGTGTCACGTTGGAAGCAAACTGATTCGGCGTGCGCGATTTCGCCATAACAAAATATTTTATTGGTAAGGCCATTTATCATTCTCTCATACTGCGGAGCTTCTTCATCATCTATCCAAAACTACAGCTGTTGCGAATACCGCAGATGCCACTTCGATTTCCGTCCAACATGACGCCAAATGGCATCAATTTACTAGTTGCGCCGCGTTCTGCTGAAGCAGGCAATCGGCTAGTCTGGCGCCTACCTAGAGGCTACTGCATGACGAAGGCGCAGAAACAGTATTAGTTGAGCGGGCGCGAACACGACGCGCGCGTATCTTCACTGTTGCAAATCCTGCGCTTCATGCGCTCTGCGGCTGATAAAGCCGCGTTGGCGTCCAAAGACATTGCGCCTGTCATGCAGCAGACTATATTTCCAATCGTCCAAGCTGAGCACCCGCGAGCGTGTCTCTTGCGGGCTATTAGCATTCGCGCGCATGAGTCATCATAGCGCCCGTACTCGGCAGCACGCTCGCGTGCTTCAGCCTGACAGAGATATGGGCGATTTCATGCAGACGACCTTTGAAAGGCAAGTGTGAAGAAGGAGGGATAGGGGGACGGGGAAGCGACAGTTAACGCAAGCTAAAGCAAAATCCTTCCCGCCAACTTCCACGAAGTTTTACCTATGGCATCGAGTCATGTCTGCCCTACCTCCCCCTCCCCCTCTGATTTGCCGCCGTGTCACTTTAGCACCACGCACACACCGGTAGAGCAGTATTCCAGTAGGAGGCGAAGCTTATTGGCATTGGTTCTTTTACTCGGCTATGTACGTCGTTGTGAACTTGCGCCTTGTGCGTCCGCCTTTGTTCATCAGCAAACCACGATACATACTCAGGGACTCGCGCCGTGGGCAGCCAGCGACGACCCTTACAATCGCTCGTTGGTGTGTGCGATTGTACGGTCGTCAAGGACCGTTCGCACGGTTAACGTGAGGCGCCCGCACAGTCTCTAATGCTCGCCGCTTGCGCGGGGAAGGTCGGCCGCTCGCTTGCTGTTGGAGTAAATGTATATGGGATACCTTGACCATTTTTCTTGGATATAGGGCCGGGCATACATCACGCGATCTCATGGCGATCCTCCCGACAAGGCAACTTTACGAGTCCATTTATGCCCATCAATCGCTTGTAATGGTTTTCCGACGCGACTAGTCAATCGCGGATAAGTACCACAACCGAAATGCAAAATGATTTGCATGCAATGGACCCGTAACAGTTGTCATGTCAAAATCGCCTGCTGTGTCCGGCCCTTAAAGGCACCGTCCACCCAAAGCGGAGTTTCACGAGATTCGATGGCATACTAATGTGGGCCCCCATTAGGCCAACCCTCAAGTTTCCCCGCAGATCATTGCTTCCGGAGCGAGAAATCCGCTCCGGAAGGGACATATCTCCGGAGCTGGTCACTCCACCCAGCTGGTCACTCCGCCCATTTTGCAGTTGGGGGCTGCGGCGCTGATATATAGGGCTTATCAAACTGAGTGTCGTTTGCACCAGCATCTCCTGCGCTGGACTCTGCGTTTCTTCTGCGGGGGCTGCTCTCTGAGCACTTTCCCAGGGCGAGCGTGGGAAAGGCGGAGCCTCAATCGATTGGAAGTGAATAGGGAGCATGTACCTCAGAAGAGAACAGAGTCCAGCGCGAAGATGGAGATGCTGTTGCGAACGACACTCAATTTGATAAGCCCTGTACGTCGGGCGTATAACAGCGCCGCAGCCCTGCGACTTGCACCTGCACCTTCTGCCAGGTTCTCCAAAACTGGGATTTTTGGGAGTTTCGTGACTTTTCGACTCCATATTGGAGATCAGGGCTTTCAGAAGGCCTGTAAGCGACCTGGAAGTCGAGAATTTGGGTGGACGGTGTCTTTAAAGGCAGCGTCCAGGCAAATCTGGACCTATGGAGATTTTGGAAAGTAATTTTGGGGCCCTAACTATGCACCTGTCCAAGCGGCAGCGCAGGTGACTCACTAACGACTGAGATATTCCCTTCGAAACTCCTCAGGATCGTCGCATGGATTCATGGCGCAACCCATACGAAATACGATCCTGGGGTCCAGTTTTGAGGGGAATATCTCAACCGTTAGAGCACTACCTGAGCTGCCGGTTGGGCAGTGGCTTAATTAGGGCCCCAAAATAATCATCCACGTGAGACATCCTAGGCTGCGTTCATGCTGGCCCTGAAGTTCCGGCACAGTTCCAGCACGGCGCTCAGACTGTGCCGGATTTATGCCCAAACCGTGCAACACGCACAGCAGCCACCCGCTGGAGGTATTGAACGGCGGAGACAAAAGAGAGGAATTTTTGACCGTTTACAGCGGTTTTTCTTGTACATTCTCCTCATGACCTCATTCTCTCCTACCCCGCTTCCTCTTCATGTTCCAAGTTTGAGGCAGGGTTGAAGTACGAGCGTCGGGGCACATGTGCAAGGATACATGAAGATGAACAGCGTCCATTCTTCGATAACGCTCCAAGTTTGAAGCTATTCTCGTCAGAAGGAGGAGCGTAGAAGAGTGAGGTAAAAATAAGAAAACTCCAAAATTTCTACATCAGCTGCTCTATAAGGCCTGTGAACAGCTACAACGGCCTAAGGGGTATGCATGATAGTCTCCAAAGCAATAGAAGCGGCGCCCCTTGAAGCGGCAGGGACTATCTTCAATTTAGAGACATGAAAGCCTTGGCAAAATTCGAATCCTGTAACTTCGGTTCAGAAGTTGCTTGTGCACTATCAAAGCACTACACCAAGTCCAGATATGCAGCAAGCCTTCTAAGAAAAGAAATTTGCTTCCAATTCGACTCGCCCAAGCCAGTTTTGCTCGTGCTCGACCGGGTCCGCCATTTCTCCTCTAAGTAGCATGCCGCAATGTTATGACCACGAGGGCCCCACAGTCTGTGTCTCCAATCTTTAACGGGAACCGTTTAACTAATTCAAATCAAAACTGGCCTTGGGGACTCCAAGGTTCATTTTCGCGATCAGCGTATTGAATAGCGCAGGTAGGCGAAAAATTGCAACCCCCGAAATTTGTGGAGCCACTGCCTTCAGCCGGGTGTAGGGCGTTAGGCGACAAACCCAATTTTTTGGACCCCAAAGAACTCCCCGTGCAAAACGTCTCCTCCGCCAAAAACAGGGGGGTGGGGGTCGGGGCCGATACATTACCCGACGCCAATGAAAAAATGATGCCTAGTTTTAAGTTACGGGATTTACGCTGCTTGCGTTTTGCACGTTTTGTCGCCTAACGCTTGCCCTCCCCTTCAGCCAGCCAAAATAAAAGTGAACATAAATGAGGTAACAAGATGTGCAGAAGTGCACTTCTTAGGTTAAAAAAGCTTCATACAAACAACACCTCATGCGCCGCGTCCAACCCGTTACCGATGGGGAGAGGGGTCGAAAAGTTTATGTACGTATGTAGGCAGCGTACACCCAGAACCTATGCCACCCAGTTCCCTATACGGCCCAGAAAAAGACCAAATGCGTTGGTCCGGTCTCCCAATGTTGCTTGTAAGGGGAGAAAACGCGCCTGATTCTTTTTGCGCTCTGCCCTATTTTTGCGGTCCGCCTCCTTCGGACGAATCTACGACAGCATAAGCTGCAGTTGCAGCTGTCATGCAGTTGCTTTTTCCGGTCCGCCTCCTTGGGACGAATCCACGCAGCGTAAGGTGTAAGCGTACGTTGCAGTTGCAACTGCAGGCTGTCATGCAGTTGCAGCTGCTCCTCGCTGGCATGCCGACGGGTCAAGCAATCCGAAACTCGCCCGCCCTTTGTAGAGAAGGTTCTCAGAAATCGGGATTTTTTTTTGGGGGGGGGGGCTAGAGAATTTGAATTTCATAACTGTGATCAGGGTCACGAAGAAGCCCCAGGATGGCAGAATGAAGTTTTGGGTGTACGCTGCCTTCAAGGATTTCTTCGTCAGTTGCGCACCGAACCAGCATCAACGAAACCGAAACAATGCACAACAGGACACGAACAATTTATCTTCGGAGCGTGAACCTACAGACGCACGTCTAGTACCTGTCTAGTAAACCATCTACCTAGTCTACGAATATGAACTCATAAAGTATTGAGAAAATGTGCTCTACATTGATTAACCCAAAACTTCAACGTGTTCGTAAAGCACGCTCATAGGATTTTCTGGCACATAGCATCAATATCATGTAATTTCAACACATTTTGAGCATAAGCATGCAGTGAGTCTTATACGAATGAACCTCGAACCAAGCAAAAATGAAGAAGACCAGAAGAAAACAGAACGATGCGCGAGGCAGAAACTGCAAGAAGTGACTCTACGTGGATATCGATTAATGATCAAACTAGAGCTACACGAGAGGTAGGTGCCAGAGTAAGCGAATATTTTGTTCAAGTTGGGGTCCCGCGCAGAACTGGCATCACTAATCATTGTGGCATAATGCCAACTTGGCGTTGTGCCACAATGATTAGTAACGCCAGTTCTGCGCGGGACCCCAACTTGAACAAAATATTCGCTTACTCTGGCACCTACCAGACACGAGACCTAGAGATGACAGCTATTCCACCTAACGGGACCCAAACATACAAGGCTTACAATCCTCCATTAATATACGCAGCTTTATCCAAGTAGTTGGCACCCACCATAAGAACTCGGCGAAAAATCCCTACATTCTCAAGTAGGATTCCGGAACGGAGACTAGTGACAAAGTTAGCGCCTTTCCTGCTAATGAGCCTTCCTAATTTACATTTCAGTCGCCTGTGCAAAAATTGCACGCTTTGATATGGATGATTAGACCGTTAAAGGAGGGTTTAGTTCCAGCACACTGGTACTAATTACTGAGCGCATCTTGGACAGGACACCAAAACAAACTGAAGACGAAGTCTTTCCTGAGTGTATCATTCCGAGAGGTATGGAGGAGATCTTGGTTTAAGGTCGTACTTCCATGGACAAAATCCGTTGTGAAAGTGGGAAAAGAGACTTACAGTGAATGAAAACTGGAACCAACGCTGGACAGTTGACTGGGGGGGACCACAACGAAGTGGCGCAGGAGTCATAAGGTGACCGATCGAACGAAAGATCAGCTTTAGGAAGAAACCAAAGACGTGGTTCTTGATGTTGAGCAGAACACTCTGCTCCATCACAGTGTGAGTTTAAGTTGATGTAAAGAGAAACTTCAAGAAGTCTTATAAAAACTATTTACACATAATGTCCAGGTACAATCGTCGGAGTAGCCAGACGCTGATCTGCACTTATCACGGATGCGTTACAGATACGGTTGACAATGAGGACTCTACCACTTGTAAATGTGCTTACCAACTTGCACAGACAAAAGAACTCCATTGAGGAATTGAAGACAACGGAAGGTTTCTAACGTATGATGATGCCTAGTCTTATTTCGGTAGTGATGAGCACTAGCTGTGTTTCTTGCAATCATACATCACACATGTATTATGGCCTACACAAAGTCTACACATTTCACTGTAAGTCTTATGGCGTTCGCAGCAAAAATTGGCTGAGTATTTTCAATCGCATTATCGATCTCATAGTACCGTCTACCGTTAAGGTATAGTTCTATACATTATGACGTTTCAACTTCAGATGCTATGTTAGTTTCATGTCGGGCACCATCAATAACAAAATCTCGAACGAACACAAAAAAAAACAAAGGGAGAAAACTAATGAAAAAAAAAACGATACCTTTGACCATCGTCGTCCTGCACCAGCGTTCGTGGTTAGCGCACGCTAAAAGCTTCTGTTTGGGACCGAATCAGACAACAACAGAAGGATTTGGAATTAAGGGGATTTGAAGTAAAGCCTACGTCAGTATTCCTATGCACTGCATCTTCTTCCTCGTTCGCGTTGCAACTGCTGCAGGTGACACATGACGAGGATTTATACATTATATAGAAATCAGTAGCAATTGAATTAATTAAGAAGAAATTTATGAGGGACAGTGAGTACGGGAGGGTGGCGAGGCGTCAAACTGAGCCGAATCGACAAGCATGAATGAGCGTGCCTGCGGTCAATCCTTACGTGTTCAAACTTGTAACGAACTATGTGCGCATTTATGAACTGAGCAACGACCATTGTCTTTTAGCACTTCGTTAGCTCAAAATCATTCTTGACGATCTTTCTACAGAACAAAGATTTAAACTTTGATAAACTGTATACGGCTGCTTTCAAAGTGTGCTGCGTTCTACCTAAACTCCATCTGGTCAGTTGTTCGCCACAGTAAATATAATATGAAGCGTCCTTTCATAAAAGTACTGAAATACATGTGAGCGATTTTGTAGCCGATGTCTTCTAACTCGCTTCAGTTTGACATTTTCCTGTACTATAGTGTAGCATCTTTTTTCATTTTCCATACATATATCTAGATTTTGCACTTGGCGTTTCGTTCGTACACATCGTTATGGACTAGAGAACCGATAAACATTTCCTTCCGCCTCATTCTTCTTCCTATCTGTAGAAATGGGTGATGTGACCAATATAGCTAGCGATCGTTTCCGAAAAATGTACTGCATTCTATTTATACCACAAGGACAGATTCCAAAGACGATCATGTCATGTTATCATTGTCAGCGCCATTCATAGGCGTATCTGATAGCACTCAAAGGAACTGCATAAGAACACCAGTAGAACGTTATTATCTCTATAACTCATTCGCGTGAAGATCACCAAGAAAAAAACCGGAACGGGTTGAAAATCAATGGACTTTAATGTTGTAGATCTATTTAGAGCTCAAATTACGACATGCGATCTCGACTTCATCTCTGGATTTTCGGCTGTGACATTGTTTGAACGTTAATAACTTTCTTGTTTCAATGTTTCTCGCGGACAATTACCGTGTTGTAGGGCATTTAGACTCACATGCGAAACGAATCCAGTCGCTCCTTATTACTAGGATTACGGTAATGACTTCCAGCATTGAGTCATTATTTCAAGAAAAATCTGGGGGCTTGTGTTATAGGATGCTTGTGATCAAAAATAAATTTTGTGCGGCCTTATGAGGTTGCTCAAAAGAATCAGTTTCTGACATCAAAAAAAAAATTATTCCTAATACCCGTCGTGTTTTGAGAACGAAATATAGTAAAGTTTTTCGCTTATTTGGGGTCTTAGTGGCAGGTTCTCGATGCCAGCATACAAAACATTCCAGAAGTCCAATATCTCACAGAGATGAAGAGCGATTAGTAATTGTTGAATAACGACATTTATGTACTTTATGCTTGTCCTTCCTTCCGACTGTTGAATGCCGTGGTAGGAAATCAGAAGTAATTTTTTCTGATAGCGCACCTACTTTCACCAGCTTTTTGGAGAAGGAAACTGAGTACGAGTACTTGTAAGTTTCAAAACGCATTGTATTTACGATAAACTTTCAAACAGTAATTTCAATTTCTACACATTACAGTTAATATTGATAGTTTATACTATTTTAATTGTAGGAGGATGGCGTCTGCGGCCTCCACTCGGGAATATTCCAGAATTGATTATCTTAGAACCACTATGTAGATAGGTTCAATGGCAATGCATGTTCCCTCCCGTGGGCAGTCCTTTCTACGGCTGCCTTTGGTGTCGAGAAAGATTCGTTCGGATTCAAGACTAGTTTTATGAGCAAAAACATTGACACCTATCTTCCTCCAGTGAACTAATGGAAGAGGGTCAGAAAAGAGTACGATACATTAGAGAGAGTGAAATCTATGGAAGCTTCGATCTTTTTACCATAGTCTTTGGAAATTTCTTCGATTTTGAGATCTCAACAGTTTTGCTACTCCACAATAGAAACTCGATTTTTTATATCGCCCTCTATCTCAAAAAATTGTAAGGTAAAGTTAGAATAAGAAGCCGTGAGACCTCATTTCCCGAGCAGCCCTCTAGTTCGCGAATTTGTTTCTGGACTCCAAGCACACTGCTCTTACACATTTTTGATTTCGAACACAGTGTTTCTGTACCAATGAAACTTCTGTTTTGTATTTTCTACTAGGATCAACTTCACATGTTTCAATGCAACATTTATTTGTGTATTCGATCAAAGTAGGGTATGCGCATTCACGGAATGATGTCCATAACCTGTGCACTGATTTCACTGCTTACATCTCCATCAACTGCTAGTACCAGCCAAAACCATCTCACAAACAGATCGTGAAGAGAAATCGGTGCAACAACTTGTAATCAGAGTACAATGCAACTATGTAGAGAGTAATAAGTTCTTTTCTCAAAGCTGTATTGCGAACCGGAGAGATGGAGAGATCGTACTTAATACAAGGAGGAATCACTCGAAGTTAAATTGAGGTCCTTCTCACATAGGGTGGGACTGATACAGCAAGCTGAGGTAAACAGTTAAATACAACACAAAGGTGTAATAGACGTGATTATCTGAGATATTACTAGTAAGAAACACTCCCACCCTACTAGAGTCTAGTCATAGGTATATACAGCAAACTACATGAATCGGGCACAGTTGTTACCCTCGTACAGCACTGCGTGCTTAGTAGTATTGCACCGGCTGGAACATCGGGCACTTCGCGTACCACTTCTGGCACGTGTCAGCGAGCTGCGCGTTCGACGGCGGGTTGCACATCGCGTGCACCTTCGGATGCGTGTGCGCGCACTTGCATTCGTCGGTACAGTGAGCGGCCGTGCATTCGGGCGTGCAGCTGGCAATGATCGCAGCTGTGAGCCGGGTCTTCGACGCTGCCGGTGCCGACTTGGACTGGCTGCCGATTGGCAGATCGAGGGCGGCGAATTCGCTACCCTTCGGCAGCGGTGGTGGCACCACTAGGTTGTCGAACTCGGAGTCGGACGAGTCCGACGAGGTATCGCGTTTCGACATCGAGCAGTGCTTCTCGTATGCGGGACAGAACTTGGCCAGTTTCGACGATGCTGAGCCGTCGACATCGGCGGAATTCTCGCAGAATTTACGGTAGTGTTCGAGATGCTTGGCACAATATCGCTGGATCTTGTCCTCACGACGGACGCGAGATGGGAGCGCTGAAACGTACAAGTTTAAATGATGCAGACAAGAGCATTCACTATCACTTAGTTTGATACTGATCGCCGATAAAGGGCAAGAATCGCATAGTGATTTTTCGAGATTGCAAAAGTAGTTCCTAACATTAGCTACCAAAATAGAATGACAAAGCAACCTTTCAAAAGCTAAATGATTTTCAACCTTTGCTCACCTTCAATAAGGCTTCCTACGACGAAAGCGAGGAGACATAGAGCACGAATCATCATAGCTGCTTAGAACGGAGTTTGAATGGAGGGCTATTTCCATGAACTCGCAGAAGACTGCGTGCTGTTCGTACGCAGCGCATCGCTTATATCCTACACATGCTCCGCCCACATCGCCTATTGGTGGAAAAGTTTGCGCCACACCCCCGCGCTACTTTGAAGATCAGCCCCCGGACGGCGGTGCCAAATTTAGCCCCTAGATGATAAGAGAGAATTTCCGATACGCGAAAGATATAGGATATAGTATGCGGAGTGCTAGAGAGTGGTGAGACGAACACACGCAGCGCATGTGACTGATTAGGGGATCTCCATCAAAAGGCGGTTTATGTAGGGCGGACGATCTGCATCTTTTTTGGGATAGATGTCACAATATGCACTCATATCTAAGCCGAGAACTTTTCGTCCTTCATCTCTTTATCCACATTTCAAAACACACAATTCATATAGCCCAGATGGAAGCTACCTCTAAACTCTCAAACCTTCAAAGACATCTTCATCATCGAATCCTTTGTCTTCACCCACTTTGAATGATCATGAGTATTTCTGGGCTAAATCGGCGCATTCATCCATCTTCTGCAATGCCGTCCTTGGTCTTAGCGACTCTATCAGTAAATCATTGTCGTTAGCCGGAATCTGGACAAATCCAAAAAGTCTATGCTGAATCACCTCTGTCAGTTACCTGTGTCATAACTGAAACTTTTCCCTATCTGCAGAGCACACTATTAAACATTGATCGCAGAATCCTGAATTTTGACCGCCCTTTTCTCTTTCTTTCAAGATTTTCTCAAAAGCTATTCGAAAAGGTTTCTGGGATCTCGCTATATTACGTACGTACTCTAAATTTTTGAGGGCATCAAAAATGCGAGGATTCTCAGATTCGACATTTACTCAGGCGGCGGTACTGATGCTTGAAAACGCTACTCTACCCTACTTTACTTGACTGCAACTTATAAACCCATTGCCTCAAAAATTTCGTCCTTCCATAATAATTCATCCTTCCATGAAAAGTTCATAATGTCTGGCGGAATTGATGTATCAGTTGGGACATAACCTTGGCGGAAACTTTACAAAAATCCAGCTCAGATCACGGTTTTGCAAAGATGGCAATATTTGCACTTTCTTAGCGAAATTTTCGTAAAGATTCTGTTTCGGGATTTGTGAAGCTCTGCATGGCATTATTGCTAGAGGCTCAAATTGAAGGCAAAAACTTCTATTATACGATGTTATTGTAAGCAGCGTCTTTTGACATTCTCGTACATTTCTCTACTAGTTGTTTCCTAGTAAACACTATCAATGTTTATACCAAACATTCTGGGGGGTTCAATTACGAAACCACAAACAGTTTCCGCGTGCCACACTACCAGTTTTGCTGCTTGTCATAGTTGTTGTAGCACTGCAGCATTCAACGAGACGACGGTGTAAGCACGCCATAGACGCGATTTCTCAATGTTATCACACTTCTATTGTCACAACATAACATACGAACGTCTACACTTCCGCGAAAGATCCGTCGGTACTGTTCCATCAAAGAAATCGTTTGTTCTTGGGACATAAGGTGGCCAGTCAGCTGGAAGCGGAACTTCATTGGAACTGAAGGTATTTAGTAAAGTAATATCTTTCTGGCTGAGCGCGCTACTCACTTCGGGGACAAAGCAGCTTGCTTTTACGCACCTTATGTACAAACTGAGAACCAGAAATATCCCAAAATTTATTTCCCATCTTCTGCGCCAATGCTGTACAGTTTTCTGAGATAATGCGAAATTCTACTAGCGGGAGAGTTTTCGTTTCAAAATTACAAGGCTGTACATGTTTATGCCATTTTCGCATTACTCCTGCTCAGTGATTTTCGTCCTCTAACCTCATGCATCAAATTCGCACGTGATCACTTCTGGAACCTAATCTAGCCGGTTGAGTGTCGCTTTCTCATTTCATATATCTTCCTCAACCCGGCAGGGTCTCCCCTCAACCTCATTACTCATTTACCAGGCACTGTCAAGGTCGCGTTCACCAAAACATGTCATTCGTTATTTTTGGAAAATCACAAGCTTGAGCAGTTTGAGGACGTGCGACACAAGCAACAAGTGAAATATCGCTGATAAGTGCATTTTCTAGTGATTAATGAGAGTATTGCGGCTGACTTTGTCTCCTCCAAACTTTCATAAACATCAGCAAGCATCACGTCAGCGACTATTATCGAACGAGTTCGAGTGAAAAAATGAGTGATTGCTTCTTTGTGAATGCTTAATGAATAGTGGTGACAAACTCGTGAACTGCGATTCACCATGTGAATCCACCACATACACATGCTGTGAGCTTGCTGCTGATCACTGATACTTCGTTATGGAGAACTTTTTCGTTTGCTCAAATCCATGCTAATTCATTAATAAAAATCTGCCGTTCACTGAAAAATTTTTGGCTGCTGGGCTCATTCGAATCACAACAAAAGAGCTTGAGATTTCTCGCTTAAGTAATTTTGCGATTGGTTTCTAACTTAACGCTCAAATTTTTGCGCAATGACCTGCCGCGCTGCCTGGTCTCCTATGGTCACAGTCACCAAAAAGAGAATTCAAGACTTGTGAAGAAAGAGAATCTCAATACATTGATGGCAACGAAAAGCCTGAAGCTGGTTTTCATCCTCTTTCATGGACAGTTCAAAAAGTCGTAGAAGTATCAATAGAGCATCCAGTAACAAATGCGCAGAATCGGATAAGTGAATGCCTCCTTTACTTACAAGTCATGGGCTATAGTAAGAATCAGAAACCTTAAATCAATTCCTGACTTCATTTTCAAGCCTGAAATGTACAAGACAAGACCGTGGTTATTCGTAAGAAAAAATATTCTAACTTCCTTTAATAGTACTTCGGGTGCGTTGCTTTATTCTCAGCGTTATTCTATCGCGAACTTGTTGAGCTCTATGAACTAGTATCGAGAGTAAGGTTGCAGTCTGAATCTTCACATCTTTGTAGTTTTCGTGGCATGTTATGTTTGTTTTACATACTGCACAAAACGTTTTTGCAGCAGACGAGCATACAAAACACTGACAAACACTCAGCCAGAAAATAAACACCTGCCATGGACTTTTACTTATTATTTGATACTTTAGCATAGAGATGATTTGTAACGCAATTGTCTTTGCTCAGTTGTACCGTAATCCTCAACGCCGCTCTTTATTCGTCAGCCGCTGTTTTTAGCCCTACCAGTTTTGGCTTCGATTACGGTAGCTGCATTGAAGATGGCGATGTCGGGCAAATGTTAAACCATGAAGATGAACTTGGTTTTTGCTAGATAATTCATATCCACATAATTGGAATGCCGCTCCTGAACAACAATGGTTTTGCTCGAGTTAGCTCAGAGGTGAGCACAAGAATTTTACAACATTAGTTTTCATGTGCACATATTTTCCCAACTAGTCTCAGTTTATATGATGGTACATTGTAGAAGATGGTAAAGTTGCGCGCCGTGCTGATAACGTCAGCAACGATGGATTGGTTGCGACTACATGATGTCATGGAATCTCAATCCAGCTTCTGAAAGACTTTTCCCATGGCGAACTCAGAAGGTCAAGAAGGCAAAGGACCAATTAGAAATCCTCTGCATTTTTTTGTTTTGATTTGAAGAATCCTGGAATGAAATATTTCTATTTCAAGCAGTGCTTCTTTTTGCTCACAGTCAACAAGAGCTCGTTCACTGATGCGTTAGAGTCACGCTTTGTGCACTATTTGCCAATTCGGTTAACGACACTTACACCTCAGGGCGTTCTTCGGTTTGCCTTCCCAATTTATCGTCTCGCTCATGATTCAACACACCGTGTTCAACCACGACAAACTACACAAAAAGACGTGTTCATGCGCTCGGATGACAAAGATGACGCCGTTGAGGTCGTTGTCGAATCATGAACGCAGTGATTGTCGTGATTTCTGACAGGGTGCGAAAGGTGAGCCGCGAAGCGACGACGTTTTGCGAGCGAAGTGATACGCGACCAAGAAGTCAAACCGAAAATATCTCTCTCTCTCCTTCAAAGCGCTCGGCGCTGCGCTCAGCCTCCGTTGTCAACGAAACGCAAGAAAACAGCTCGCTCTCTCAAAGTCGCGCACCGCATTTTTGGAGAACGCCTTGGCTACTGTACGTACACTATACGATAGCTACCGTATTCCATAAACCGACAAACTTCGCTCGTAGCCAGGGCCCGGCGCAAGGTGGCTTTCCGACAATGCAAAAAACAAAGTCCCACTGACTTTCGCAAATTTTACGAAGTCCACTTTGACCCTCAACCCTAAACGTAGAGATGCCTCAAAAAAAAAAAACACGAAACGTCGACTGAAAAGAAAGTAGCCTAAGTTGTGTTTTTTCGACGCAAATACGATATCCAGCTTGCTTACAAGCCGCCTGTGTGCCGAGCCCTTCTCATAGAGCGCTAACACTTCAGCCGACATTTTGCCTATGTCACATCAGTATAATACGGGAAACTCCACTACTTTCACACGTCATTGATTCCAGAGAGTAGTTCTACACACACACATCAGCGTCAACTACGTTCCAAAATACTGGAAAGAACCCGATCAGGAACCCAAACAGAATAGTTGGAACTATAGTATAACCCTACAGATGTCGTCTCTACCACCATTGCACAGCGAAATTATGTAGGTCTCAGAAATTTTATATACCAGAACAGAATCCACCCATAAAATATGTCTAGCTTCGCTTATCTTTTTTCCACAACTGAATTGCATGATGATTACGCAAACTTAGCCAAACCGTCTCAAACGAAGTCAGATAAACAGGATGGGTGATACTGTTCCAGATCAAATTTTTGCATTATTAGATCTGTCCGAAAATTCGTTCCTTAGACTCGATGACTAACATTATTCTTCTTGCGTAGGCGCGAGTCTATTTTTAACCCCATATCCCACGAACATCAATCTATCTTCTCTTGACCTTCGCTTTTGAGTGCGCTGGCCAACTTCACTAGCACCCAAATTTTATCAAGTTTTTGCATGATCTCGCATGTTTGAGTAAGCATTCATGTCGACGTCATTTTATGTGGGAACGTTTA